ATATATATATATATATATATATATATATATCTCAAGTCACAAGTGCCCTGGTTTTGTTTCTCTAGAGAACCCTCTCTAACACAAATGTGAACAACCTTGGGTGCTATCTAACATATGAGAAATTAGTATAATAACTGTTTTAAAGGGAAAAATTCTAGACACAAGTATATACAGTCTTTGGAAAAAGGAATTTCATCTTGGCAAGAAGACTGTTATATTAAAAAACTATTGCAATATTCAAAGAGAGAGAAACCACAAAATAACCAAAAGTTATCATGCAATGGATGACTTGAGAAATTAGCTAGATTTAATGCTCTCAGACTGAGAGAGAACACAATGGGCAAAGCTCAAGAAACCAGTAAAAGAAGCAAAATAAGAAGGAAAATGAAAAGAGTGGTATGATGATGAAAAAGGAGATCAGACAGCATAGTGGTTAAGCATTCAGCTGTTAACTGAAAGGTTGATGGTTTGAACCTGTGTGGTAGTTACATAATCTGGTGCCAATTTGGGACTTGAGAGGATTAATAGTGAAGTGGGTGGAGTCTAGTCTGTCAATTGGCTCATAGCCAATGAGGCCTCTGTGTGGGCATGGCCTACTCCTGAGAATTGTGGGAAATCCGATATTTCTTCCTTGGAGACAGGAGACACCTCTTTCTCTGCTCACTCCCTTGGAAAATTGCAGCTGACAAGACACATGGAACTACACTAGAGCCCTGAGCTGGGGAAGCCTCATGGATCTACCCTGATGCAACCAGACCTCTGAAGCCAGAGAAGCCACATAGAAATCCGAGACAGCGCTGAGATGCTTACAACGCCACTGGATCCAAAGACCTCTGATATGTTTCAAGCAGAGTTTTTCTACCCACTGGCTTGTGATGAGCCCGCATTCGGCATCATTGCATGTGTTTCCTGAGTCTAAAGAGGACTTTATAGATTGATATCGGACATATGGGCTAATATCAGACTTATGGGCTTTTGACTGGACTGGATTGGGATGCTTCCTTAATGTACAGTTATGCTTTATATAAAACTCTCTCTAAGACACATATAAGTTTCTATGGATTTGTTTCTCTAGTCTACTCAGACTAACACAACCTATCAACTGCTCTGCAGGAGGTAGATGTGTCCATCTGTTTTGTAAGGATTTGTGGACTTGGAAGCCTTTGGGGGCAGTTCTACTCTTTTCTGTAGGATCACTGTGAGTTGGAATGGTTGTCCGATGATGGAAGACATGGATAGAAAATGTTTCTTAACTTGGAGGCAGTTAACAGTGTAAAACCACTGAAAAGAATCAAAACCTCCATAGGAGGTTATCAGATACCTTGGTAAGGACATTTTCAACCAAGTCTTAAGTAAAACCAGGCTTGAGTAGATTGAAAATTAAGTGATGATGCTGTGAGGAACACTCTGTTGGGAAATTTAGTGATGAAGGAAAAGGAGACAGACAGACAGACAGACAGACAGGGGAAGTGAAAGTCATGTACCTTTTAGTATCGTTTTAGATTTTGAGGACAAAGCCAGTAGAAAAGGAGAATATGAAACTTTTGTAGGGAGGAGAGGAAAGGAGGAAGGAAAGGTGCTTCTTTAGATAATTCTGAAGTGGAGGGAAGATCAGCTCAAAGAATTGTCTTTTGGCCTTACATTCTCTGTAATGTTGGAAGCTTTGCTGAGTAGAGCAGAGGGTAGGTAGAGGATTCAGAAAAGTAGCAAGGGTTTGGGAAAGTAATGCTAGAGATAACTACAGTGAACTGATTAGGGACAAATGAAAATTCTGTGTAGTCGAAAGCTCCTTAAACTGAATTTAGGTGTTGCAAAAAAGTTGACAATAGTTAAAAGTTTCTGCATGCACAATAATAAAAAAATAATTCAAGATTAAACTCGTTGTGAATTAGAGAAATACCTACACACGCTGCAAATTTCTCAAGCAAAAAGGGATCCTGAGTAGAAAAAATTTAAGAAGCCCTGGAAACAACCCAGCCAGGATCACAACCAACTTGAGAAATGTTTGAGCCTTAGCTCTAATACTTAGACATTGAATGAATTGGGCAGGTGATTTTTTTTTCAGCAACTAAAATGGGATAATGATCAATTAGAATTATGAGAATCAAGTTATGTTTATCAAACTAACCAATGCAATCTACTGCCATCAGATTCGTCTCATAAGGACTCTATATGTA